CAGGACAGCCCTTCCTCCTGCATGTTGGTGAAAACAAGAGCAGCACCAAAGACACTTCACCATCAGTGATCACAAGATCATCCAAGGTAGCTTTTGATGAACTTCCAAAGCACACTTCACCTTCAGTGCAAAGTACCATGAATTCCTCTACAACTTCTGTAAATTAATCCAGCCTACAGTTTTCAACATTGATGTGACTTGCACGACAATTGAGGAGTTTAAGATCCTTGCTTTTACTTTACCTGGCAGAGTGGACACTCTTTATTATGATGATCATTTAAACGCATACTGTATCAATAAGAGGATTTGTTTTGTTTTCTTCCAATTAAGGACTTGCAGTTTTCTGCATGGTCAGCATTGAAGGCCATATTGTCTTTGAGAGGGTACAGCCAACATTCTAGACAGGACAGTGTTGTCCATCTTCTACATCTTCAACCTCCAATGAGGCAGCCAAAACTTTGGTTCATTCAACGGTAAAACCATTCCTATAATTTTTTTTTTTTACAATGACATGGTTTTAAAGCAAGTTATGATTCACATTTGACAAAGGTGGTGATGTTTTCTCTTTACGTAATTAAAAACAGCTTTATTTATATATTATACCAGCTGTATTCAGAATGCCACACTATTTATATTCTCAGGAATTGTCCCATTTTTGATTTTGTTTTTAGTCGCTTCATTGGGATTAACCCAGAAAGGGATACAAAAGCAGGTCATGGGAAGATGGTATCCAAAAAGACAGGAAAGACCATTCAAAAGAAAAAGTGACGGTCAATGTTCAGGTTTCCACCCTCATCAAAAACCTGATGGACTTTGAGTGGCATCTCATTCAGGTTAGTTGTTGTCCTTTTCTATTCTTTGAAATCTTTCTGTTTCCATATTATTTAGGATCTAAATTATATTGTCTTTTTTTTCCATGTTGGACGGTGCTTTCATCTGCATCTAATAAAGTAAGTGCCACTTGGACTCTTGAAAACCATTAATAGTTCACATTTTAAAACTGTGTTAATAATAGAATTCCACATTATTTCAGCCATGTTGAAATTTAGATTTTGGAAGTAATTTTTCTTTGATTTGTTTAGTGATACCCAAAGCATGGATATTTCTTTAAGAACTGTGTTTTTATGTTAATAAGATTGTAGAAATTAATGAGTTAATCCCAGTTTATGTCGCTGTAAAATGAAAGACTTGCTCAGGAATATATTAATTACTTGAGTGAACCAAAATATTACAACTAGATGTTACCTGACTTAATATCTGTGTTTAACTGTCATTTGGGAAAGCCCAAATGACTCAAGTGTTCTAAACTTGGACCAGCTGGCAGCAGGCGAGGGGAGCTGGGTGTCAATACAGCGGGAGCAGATATCTCCGAAAACGTTGGAGCAATATTGCAATTAGGTGATGCACTGATGAGCCGAGCAGAAATGTGAGATTTATACATTTACATTCTCGCCTACAAACATTGTTTAAATCATGTTGTGTCACGGTTGCTAAACGCCGAGGTGGAGGCTAGGCAGCTAGCTGAAGGCTACAGCTTCTCTCTGCAATGCTCTCTGCCTTCGCAGGACCCCTCTTCCGTAGACCGGGTCGTTTCTCAAGCCCATGAAAGAATAAGCTTGAAAGGATGCAGACCCTGAACTCGGACACAAAGCTCTAGTGGTCTGGAACACTTGTTTTTATATGTATATTTTGCATGTCTTTTTTGTTTGCGTCTTTTCGTTGTTGTGTTTGTCTCGTGTTTGCTGCGCGTTTGCACATGTCGGCCACCGTAGTATTTTAACGATTCTGTATTTCAGTTCTGCTGGGCTCCATATGGTTATTTGTTATAAGTTGCATTGTGATCACTGTTATGTGTAGAGTGTTATGGGGTTCCCCTGTCTGACTCTGCTGACTCCCCCTCACATGTGATGGACCTGTCCTGTGGACGGGGGATCAGGGGAGTGGGAGGACCAGGACCGATACTGACAGAACACCGGAAGAGCGGAGAGTTCAGTGTGTTAGCAGTGAAGCTATTCAGTTGAGTGTAACGATTTGTTAGAGGGGCGAGCTGCAGCCTAAGGAATAGCAGCTCGCTTTTATTTCTAATAAACCCTGTTGACGGTACTACATCTGCGGTGTGTTGGCGTCATTAAAGTATTTACTTACAGTACACCACTTTAAAAGGTAATTACAGGATGGAAAAGGTAAATGTCCAGTAAAATACTGGTTTCTACAGACGCCGGTTTTTTTTTTTTTATTATTTTTTTTTTACCGTTTTTCTGAAAGAATGGTTAAAAAAAACTGGCGTCTGTTTACCGTTCTTCTTTCGAAAGAACGGTAAACTACTGGCAGCTACAGACGCCAGTATTTTACCGTTCTTTTACGGTAAACTACTGGCAGCTATAGACTTTTCACAAGACGTCAAACAACATCCGTTTAACATCCTAACATCCACTATCTATACATAATATAAACTGGACAAATTCCTCGCTGATTGATTCCAGTTTGACTACGAAGGTACGTGTTTTTTTTTTTGTTTTTTTTTTCTAGCCGTTAGTTGATATGCTAGGCTAGCAATAGTAATTTGTTAGCTGGCTAACATTACGTAGCCTTTCCGTTTTGGGAATAGAACGTATTTAGGCTCTAATCTTAATCACATTTTTATAGTATAGACTGAGGTTGCCACCCTCCATGGAAAATGCGTGATCGTTTTAAACCCTCCTCATTTACGCTAGTTTCACCACCCGCTCAGTAGCGACATGTCCTGTAGCCACATGTCCAAAACTTGACAGTTATGCCAAACACCCGCTGCTCCATCACGTCCTGAGAAGTTAAACTCTTACTACGATCAAGACATGAGGAGGAAGGCGCTGTTTTAGATAGATATTAACATTTCATTGGAGAAATGTGATTCTCTCTCTCTCTCTCTTTGCTCATTAACTTCACATTTCTCCAATGAATATTTATCAAATGTTATGATTAGAAGGTTAAGTTTCTTATACTTTGTTTTCCTGTGGTTGTAAACTTTGCAGTAGAAAATTGATAACATAGGAAAATAACTTTATATCCCTTTTAACAGGTTACACTTGATTCTGCTGTGGTGCCTGTGAAAACAAAGTGCATGAAGTTGTGCTGAGGTGGGAAAACCCTGTGGGTCACATGGTGGGACTTCTGCTTCAAACTGCTCATTACAGTGTACCACTGCCTCTGTCATCCACCAGTTCACTGCAGACTGGCACCCACCAAGTACCGTACATGGATGTCTTCTTAAATTGTAAACCCTGAGTACATAATGTTGAAATAAAATTTATGTCTTTTGTAACTACATTTTCTCTATCAATGACTTAAATTATTAACTGTGGTAATTATGTTTCTGTAATGTAGTAACCATGTAGTGTTTAATATAATTATTAAATAGATGTTTTAAAGAAACAGCCACAAACCTTATGTCTTTGCTCCACAATAGCAGCTTTAATTTTAGCATTTCCTCTCCTCCACATACTTTGTTGCCAGATGTGTAAAATTTACAAAAAGAAGTAATTTAAATGTAAATGTTGCACATATGTAGATTACTCGAGAGAAGCTATTAACAATAGTTTTTTACAGAACTCTACACAACATCAATTCATTTATTAATAGATACATATATTAACTACAGAATAGGTACACAAAGATTTCATTTCTAACAGCTACTAGCAGTAATGAGTGTTCATCCAAGAAGTGTGACTTGCAGGAGCAGGGAGGCTCTGTACTGGTTTCTCCTTTTAAATCAAGAGGCCCATGATAGTTTGACTAGGCAGCAGATGTCCCATAGCTGATTGACTGAACCTGCCATGGACAGAGGAACAAGACCATCCCAGATATGGTAGGTTGTCAGGTCGGCTACTGCTGAGAAAGATGGACAACAAAACAAATGGAGAAATTATGAATCACATCAGAATATTTAAATACTTTAATATATTTAAAATGTTTTTCTAAACAACAGTGTTGGAAGATGTAAGTGATTTTTGTGAAACTTAACACAGCACTGAAAGGAAGCGGTGTACGTGTATGTTTCCTAACTGTGGCTAAAGCTGCTGCTAGCTGGTTTACTCTCCGATCGGAGGCTGTTTATTATATACACAGTCAGAGAATGATGGATTGTCAATGAGTAATAACAGCTATCTAACACTTAAATGCTGTTATTAACCTTACCTTTTATTGTGTCCTTAAGATAATGAGTATTCGTGAATTTTTCAGTCAGGTTTCCTGAGGACTGTTGAACTGAGGCCGAAAGCCCCACGTAGGCAGGCATTCACATTCTGCACACGGATCGTTCTCTTTCCTGTTTATTGACCAATAGAGAGCTGCACGTAGAAGGCTGCCCACCTCATTTACATATCGACAAAGCAGAAATACAGCGAGGAAATAATACAGAAAACAATACAGAAATAAATACAGAAAACAATACAGAAATACAGAAAACAATACAGAAATACAGAAAACAATACAGAAATAAATACAGAAAACAATACATAAATACAGAAAACAATACAGAAATAAATACAGAAAACAATACAGAAATAAATACAGCAAATGGAAATATATATTTATTCTTTTATGTATTAGTATGTCAGTTTTGGTCCTCCATAAGGGAGACTAAAGGAACCTAGAGTAGAACAAAGGAAAATAACTAGAAACAAGAAATAAACAGAATTATCATGAAGAACAGATGTGGAAAACAAGGCAAAATTACATCGAAACAACTAAGGAACACCAAAAGAATCTGAGGAAGTTTTTGATGGAACAGCAGCCTTGGAGGACGCCAACGGTGGAGCAGAAACCTAGGAAGATGCTGCCGAACAGCAGCCTTGGAGGACGCTGGCAGCAGAGCAAGTACCTTGGGGGACGTTAGGGGCAGAGTGGGAACCTTGGGGATGCTGGGGAAATGTTCGTTCCAACCTCCTGAGCCTTGTCGCAGGTCCTGTCGACATCCTAGCTGACCTCACGAGCCTGGCTTGGAGGTCGATGGGACCTGCGACACTGGCAGTGGAGCAAGTATCTGCTGACGGCAGAGCAGGAACCGGGAGGCCGATGAGACCCATGACGAGGCTCCGGAGGCCAACGAGACACACAACGAAGCCCTGGAGGTCGGCCTGGAGACCAACGGGACTCGCTACAAAGCCCTGGAGGTCAGCCTGGAGACCAACGGGACTCGCTACAAAGCCCTGGAGGTCAGCCTGGAGACCAACGGGACTCGCTACAAAGCCCTGGAGGTCAGCCTGGAGACCAACGGGACTCGCTACAAAGCCCTGGAGGTCAGCCTGGAGACCAACGGGACTCCACACAAAGCCCTGGAGGTCGGCCAGGCGACCTATAGGACTCACCACGAAGGCCTGGAGGTCAGCCAAGAGACCTATAGGACTCGACACAAAGCCCTGAAGGTCAGCCAGGAAACCAACGGGACTCCCCACGAAGCCCTGGAGGTCGGCCAGGCAGCCTATAGGACTCGACACAAAACCCTGTAGGTCACCCAGGAGACCAACGGGACTCGGCACGAAGCCCTGGAGGTCAGCCAAGAGACCTATAGGACTTGACACAAAGCCCTGAAGGTCACCCAGGAGACCAACGGGACTCGGCATGAAGCCCTGGAGGTCAGCCAAGAGACCTATAGGACTTGACACAAAGCCCTGAAGGTCAGCCAGGAAACCAACGGGACTCGGCACGAAGCCCTGGAGGTCGGCCAGGCGACCTATAGGACTCGACACAAAACCCTGTAGGTCACCCAGGAGACCAACGGGACTCGGCACGAAGCCCTAGAGGTCGGCCAGGAGACCTATAGGACTCGACACGAAACCCTGAAGGTCAACCAGGAGACCAACGGGACTTGCCATGAAGCCCTGGAGGTCAGCAAGGAGACCAACGGGACTCGCCACGAAGCCCTGGAAGTCAGCCGGGAGACCAACGGGACTCGCTACGAAGCCCTGGAAGTCAGTCCGGAGACCAGCGAGTCTGATTGTCTGGTCACGAAGGAGACCTGAGTTCAACGGCGTCAAGTTCCCATAGCGCTGCAGTCCTGCGTGCCTCAAGCTCTCCTGCCAACATATTTCAAGCGATTAGCTCTTCCACCATCAGCCCCCCAAGTGTCAAGCTCCTCTGACACCACAGTCCTGCTGTCCTCAAGCTTTTCTGCCCCCGACAATCGGGTATGAAGCCTGGAGCCCTCATGACACTTCTTTATTTAGAAGTACCATGGTTGAACCCAGTACCTCAGATTGTCTGTTTTGTACATTTTCAGAAATGTATTGGTGAAGCCTCTGACCACACGTCTGAATATAGATGGCTGTTCCTGTGGCTGGTCTGTAACCGACTGGCTGTCTTCGTGGGTTTCCTCTTCAGATGCCTGCTGGTTCTGCTGCTCCTCTCTGTCCCTCAGCCTTTGGTTCAGCCGTTCCACTTCAAGCTGCAGGTCAGTATTTATGTGCTCCAAGGCGGTGTATTTCTGCTCCAAGTCAGTGTATTTCTGCTCCAAGGCAGTGTTACGCTTCTTTAAGGAGATGTTACGCCTCTTTAAGGAGGCGTTACCCTTCTTAAAGGAAGCGTTAAACTGCCTCAAAACAATGTTTTTTTCCTCCAAGGTGGTCTTTTTCTGCTTCAAGGCAGTGTTTTTCTGCTTCAAGGCAGTGTTTTTCTGCTTCAAGGAGGTGTTACGCTTCTCTAAGGAGGCGTTATGCTGCCTCAAAGCGACGTTTTGCTGCTCCAAGGTGATGTTATCCTGTCTGACGCTGCTGCAATACCTCTGCAGTTCATCGAATTGTTCCTGCAGATTGATAATTCTCTCCTCCAGGTCGTTGCTTCTCAGCCTCTCTGTCCTGCTTCTCTGCTCCAAGTTGTTGTTTCTATGCTGTAAGATGGCACTCATTTGCTCAAAGATGGTTTTTTCCTGCTCCATGATGGTGTAATTCTCCTTTAAATTTGTGTTTACTTCCAACTGTCTTTTAAGTTCCTCGTCTTTTTCCCTAAGCAACTGATCTTTTTCATATGCAGCTTGTTCCATGTTTTTAACTTGAATCTTCAGCTCCTCAATTGTTTTCATCATAGTCTGTCTCTCCATAGACATCGTGCTGGCTGTTTTCAAAATTCTTTCGAACTTCTCTGCTGTTTGGGACTCATTCTGGGAATGAGAAGATGACGCCTTACTGCTCGCACTCATTCTTGTTTCTTTTTTGATCAGACAAATTGAAAAACTGTTAGGTCGCCTCCTTGTACTAGCTCTCCGGCTTCTGCAATGGTTATGACCGTGCTGCTGTGTGATGTCACTCTTTCTCCACAAGAGTGACATCAATTCTCTTTGTGACATCAATTCTCTTTGTGACATCTATTCGCATGATGTCACAAATTGATGTGACTACCTCAGCAGGACAACTAGAAAACTGCTGAAGTTTGAATAAAAACAAACTTTACGGCTGAATGCAGGTCTGCTTAGCTGATGGCCATTGGCGACAGTTTAACTGGTAATATATCACCAGTTAAACTGGTGATATATTACCAGTTAAACTG